ATATATATTTACTTATAAATCGGTCAGTAGGTAAATATACTGATGCATGTAAATATGTTGAATTTGTGTTCATTTTCTTTAGCTATGTATAGGCATTTGAAGATCTCGCATACCATTATGTTGAAAATTTATGGCAGATACTTATTCAAGTTTTAAGCCTTTCAGTTTGGTGTGTGGGGTCTTCGTTAATACGGAATGCCCAATCTGCAGCAATGATAAGACCGGGTGGGCCAAACCTGTCCCTGGACAACCGCTATGGGTGTGAAATATGGTGGCAGGGTTATGGCGGGTTAACCCTACTAAAACTGCCGTTTAAGCTAAGTGAGTTAAACAGGGTGGGGGATGCTCCTCATTGTATTTTGTTACATTGCGGAGGAAATGATATTGGGATGATGCCAATAGGCGATTTGTGCTTAAAAGCCAAAAAAGTGTTGGTAAGTGTACGGGAAAAATACCCTGGCATTATGTTAATCTGGTCGCAGATACTGCCACGTTTGAAATACCGTTATTGCGACAACACTCGAGCAATGGAAAAGGCACGACAAAAACTAAATGGGGCATGTGCCAAAACTGTGTTGGGGTTTGGGGGGGGCTTACATAAAGCACCCTGATATTAAGATAATTCATCCTTCATTGTTTAAAGACGATGTGCATCTGTCGGAAGCGGGCAATAATGTTTTCCTTAATGGACTGCAGGGGGGTATTGAATGGGTAATTTGGAATGGGGGAAAAGTTTTCCCACTATATCAATACTAAGACTAGTAGAGTCCAAGCTTTGTTTCTTTGGTATTCTATGGTACATTTCGTTAAGGGTAGTCACAATGTAGGGATGTAATTTTAAAGAACCATACGGCGTTTGTAGCCGTATTTTAAAGAAGAGACGGTGTTTGTAGCCGTGTTTTAAAGAACCATACAGTGTTTGTAGCTGTATTTACGGTGTTTGTAGCCGTATTTTGAGTAACCATACGGCGTTTGTAGCTGTATTTTGAATCGGCGTTTGTAGCCGTATTTTGAATAACCATATGGTGTTTGTAGCCGTATTTTGCAAGTTTCATTTATTAAGAAGTAAAATAAGTTAGAATTCACTTTCCCTATAATGTTTGATGCCATAATATAATTTATGTGGTCTCGGGGGTAGGCCTATACCGCGTTCCCCACCCCAGAAGGTGGCGGTAATCACGTCCCAACTCGTTGTCGGGTCGTGATTATTTGGCGTTACGCCGCATAGCAATGGGTATACCGTATATATTAGGCTCTTTACTGCTGTTTTCGGAGTAAAGCGCACTTTACTAGCTATTAAAGTGACCATTCCCTACGGGGGGGTTCACATTTTATTTACGGACTACCTAAGTGTAACAGTGAGCTATTGGGCAATAACTGTTTTGGACTTTGGCCAATTTGGCCTTATTAACTGTAACATTGATGGTGCCAGCCATACCTCGGCGGACCACAATGATATTTTATAACCTACTGCCGTGACCACATATCGCCAAACTTAATAAAATTATAAACCTTATTTCTTGTGTATGTTATCTTTTCTTCAATAATC